AGGATCGGTATGAATTACCCTCTGTGGGTCTGTTGTGTGGAAAGCATTTGTTGATCTCCATTAAACAGACACATTGCTGAATTACATGCATTGTGTAGGTGGTGCCTTAATGCTTTCATATTGAACTGTTTAAAACATTCAGTAGCTTGATTTTGAAAAGTGCCTCCATCTTTTTCTCTTCTCCCAATTTCCAGTTTCAGCTCTTGAGGCTAGATTAGTTAAACGTGGGAGGCTTGTGACCAGGTTTAACCATACAAGTAGTTGTAATGGTTTTATTTGATGTGTAGTTAATACAAAATCTCCAAGCTCTCCCATCTGTTGCTGATTTTTATTTCAAACAGCCAGCTCAGGTACAGAAGTGACTGAGTCCTAGTTTTAACCCTGCCAGCTCATTACTTGTTAGCCTGGATTCTAAATTGTAAGCCAGTTCCAAGTTGAATGGTTAAAAAACGAAAAAGTAAGTCCAGACTTTCATGCATTTGTTTTTGGCAAACCAGAACTTTCAACCATTATGGAGTTTTTTTGTTTTTTGTGTGCCTCGCATTACCAAGCTTAGCTGTAGTTCAAATTTGTTGAAGTTGCATCTTGCTCCTGCCTTGATCTTTTAGAATTTCTTGTGACATTACCCAAAACACTGAAGGGCTGGTACTTGAGAGGTGTGATTTACTTAAAATAATTCCATTTCTGTCCCTGCAGATGTCCAATATCACAGTGACTTATCGTGACGGCCGCGTGGCGCAGTTGGAACAAGTCTACATCCGCGGCAGCAAGATCCGCTTCCTGATCCTACCTGATATGTTAAAGAATGCTCCGATGTTAAAGAGTATGAAGAACAAGAACCAGGGATCAGGTGCAGGAAGAGGAAAGGCAGCTATTCTTAAAGCACAAGGTGAGTGGGCATCTTTTAAAGCATAAGAGAGAACACGGGGGTTTTGTTGGGAGATGTGAGCAACATTCACGACACAATACACTTCACTAAGTTTGCCAGAGAGGAGTTTCCAGACTGATGCTTGTCTGATGCATTTGTCCTGTAATTCATGTGGACAGATACATGTGATGTGTTAAATAAGATGTGCAGGCAACCTGTGCTTTGTATGTGGATTTGCCTTCTTTTTGTGTCCATCTGCAGCAGAAACACAACTTACCATGACATAAATACGCTCCACAAGTGCAGCTTTATTCCTGGTGTATTAAATATAATCCTGTCAGAGGGCCACTGATTCATTTCCTTTTCATTTTTATTTATTTATTTTTTTTAAATTTGTGTATCACCTTCTATTTTAAGCGGTACCCAATGTTTTGTCCCCTGAGTATCAAGGCTTCAGAATTAGACTCTCTGCTTCAGTGGTCCAACAAAATCGTGTTAGATTCACTTTTATAGTAGATGTTGATCAATATAGTTTTTTTTTTTTCTGGACTGATACTTAATACGACTAATACAATGGACCAATAAGCTAAATTTTGAACTGATGCAGTGAAAATAAAAATGTTAATGTCAAAATGTAAAATAACAAAATTTTGCAGATATGCCTTTTATACTTTACATCTGGTAGTTTAAAAGACATTATTTCAATATTAATCTTTACATATGGCTGCATTAGTGCCAAAGCAGTGCATTTTCAGATTAATTTCTTATCAGGAATCCATTATTTCTAACAAATAACGATACTGATAATCGCAAAAGTGCTGAATATTGGATCTGAGAAGCTGCCAGGATAATTGGTTGACCTCTAGTTCATCGGGATATTTTACTGCACTGTCTTGTACATAATATTGTCTTATCCTCCTTTTCATCGTTCTTTTAAGGCCATTTTTTGTACTTTACAGACTTTACTAACCAATATGGATTTCTGACTGATTTCCCCTGATGAGTAAGATCCCTTACCTTGGAGTGTGATATGTCTAACATGTCTTCCTCTTTTTCTGCAGTGGCTGCAAGAGGACGAGGCCGTGGTGGAATGGGAAGAGGCAACATCTTCCAGAAGAGGCGATAACTTCTCCAGTTTGATTCAGATCGTTTCATTGTATAGTCTTTTGGTTCTTTTTATTTTTTCCTTTTTGGATTGGATTATGTAGGTGGTGTTTGCAATCTTTTGCTTCGCAGTTTATTGCTGTAATTTCACTTTTTTATGAAAATAAACATATTTCCATTTGACATGTCCTGTGCATTGCTTGAATGGATCGGGGTTTACATGTGGCTGCATATCATCAGCCAGTCAGTTGTCAGTATTTTACCTGAACCGAACAGATTGCGCGTCAGAGACTTCTTGCGTGCATAAACAATAACTTAACAAATGCTGATAAAGGTAACGCGTGTTGTGGTTAGAAAATGCACTAATTACACCTCGACGGCCTCAATGTTTACTCGGGTTAAACTAAGCTCTAAAAATTACCACCAATTACTTTCTTTCCTCCATTTTCTTTTCTTTAGATTTGCTTGTGAGCCAATGCAAATCAGTGAGACACTTGGTTATGAAAGGCTGAACAAACAAGCTTCAGTTGATCTGGAGATTGCTTATGAAAGTGCTAACTTGGGCACTGTTTAGTACTTGATGTCATATATCTGTGTGTGTAATTTGAACATTGGGATGGAAACACTATACAGAGGATCCTTTTTCTTTTTGCCTTTTCAGCTTCAGTTTATCGTGAAAGTGTCTTTATGTAAAGGAAAACAAAGCAGTAAGGCATTCTGTTTTGCTTTCAAATATTTATTCTCCTGTCAATCAACTTTTCTCATTCAATAACCTGAATCAGAATCGGCTTCATGGGCCAAGTATGTGAACACGTGAGGAATTTGACTGGCGTTTACTTTGCCCTTTACACAAAATGGACCTGTGCATTTGAACAACAGTAACAGGTCATGGAATGAAACGAGTGTGCACAACTACAGATATGTGCAAAGTGAAAATGATTTTTTGTGCAAAATTAAGGTGAACCTGATTTTTGTTGCAAAATTACAGTGAATCAAATTTTGTTCAAATGCAGTTACTATACAATAAATATAAAGTTATTGCATGATGTAAACATATCATCACCTAATTATTTCCACATCCAAGCACATTATCATTTGCACATTTCTGTGTCTCTCTGATATATTCTTGTAAATTTTGTCAACTTTTCTTTCTATATTATGTTTCTAGATTTTTATCTTATTTTATTTTACCTTCATTTATAGCCCACCCTAATATTCTATGTTGTCTTTTCACTTTGTTTACACCCTTTGTTGAATATTCATGCTGCTGTAATGACTGAATTTCCTTCTTGGGATTATTAAAGTTGGTGTAAGTCTAATGAAGGTTATTACAGTGTAATGGAACAGAAAGGAGCATTTCAGGGATGAAAACAGCAATATAAAAAATAAAATAAAATAAAAACAAGCATGATGGGACCCGTAAACTAATAGTTTGTTGAACAGCCCTTTGATCCAGTCACCGCAATCAAGTATTTTCTGTAACTCTCAATCAGACTTTTGCACCTCTTGCCAGGTATTTTGATTTCACTGTTCACCAGCAAAGTGCACTAATTTGTCCGGGACAGTTTTTTTTTTTTTTTAAATTATTCTTTTCAACCACAATTCAAAACCAACGTCTTATTTCACTAAATTATAATTTAGTACATTTTTATTTATTATTATTTTTTCAGTTTCTAGTTATTTGAGTGACTTTTGTGACTTTATTGTATCTAGAAAAAAAAGGTGTTTTGTTGTGGTCTCCTTTTTTTCTAATTCCACGCTGCAACTCTCCCACTCACCACCAGAGGGCGCCACTCGGTTATTGTTCTTCGCCCCCGAGAACCACAAAGTGTTTTATGTCGAAGTCGTGAGTTAAACAAAAAAAAAAGGGGAACAGAAGGCAGCTCCTCCGCGGATGTACGGCAGCTTTCTACGAGCATTTTCCGTCTGAAACAGCCTCCCGTTAACCGGCTGCCTCTCAACACTTCCTCCATATGAAACACGGGACCCGCGAGCTCCGCTGGATTGGTCCATCACAACATCGGTTATCGGTCTGCTACATTTCTCACACGGCTAAGCTAGCTGTCGGAGGGCAGAAGCTACTCTCTCGGCGAAGAGGAGGGGAAGAAGGAGCCTCGTAATTCTGACTCGTAGGCCCAGATAACACGTTGAGGTGAGTGTCTGATTAAATTCACGCGGTATTCGCTGCCCTGTGTGGCCGGAGTCCTGCTAGCATCCTCGACTCCTGCATCTACAACATCTGTATCTTGACAGATGCTGCTAACGTTAGCTGGTTGGCTTTAAAGCTTTAGAGCTAAGTTAGCTTAGTGGGACCTCAGACGACGCTGCACTCGTTTTTGTTTTGTTTTTTTAAATTTTGCCATCAACTCTGAAATATGTAAGTTATCAGCTGCTGTTGTAGGAAATAGCTAAACATTGTAAAGTGTCACTCAGTGTGTGTGTGTGTTTGTCAAATTGCTGTCAAGTGGTGTGAATGCGTCAGTGTTTTAAATGCCTCTGATGGAAACAGTTTGGTTTCTGGTGTTACCATGTTCTGCTTTTTGGGGTTTTGAGAGTCCAAAGTTGCATTAAGAGAGCTGTTCTCATCCTCTGGTGCTATTTATTTATTATTCTACTATTTTGTTGTTGTTTTTTGGGGGTGATTTAAGGCCACTGTTGAATTCATAAGAGAAGCAGGAGATCTGATAAATACCAATAATTATAATGAGGATACAGTGATGTACCTTGTCAGGGTAGAACAGGCTTTATGCTTAAAATACACCTTCTGTTTTGCATGGTGCAGGTTTTGAGTTGGAAAATTGAAAGTGCTTCTTCCAAACAGTCAATCATGTAGGTCTTTTAGGTGTTCTATATGAGTCTGTTAACTCGTCTTTACATTGTGAAATTCCATCCATCCATTATCTATACCCTGCTTAATCCTCACTAGGGGGGCTGGAGTCTATCCCAGGGTGAAGGCAGGTTCACCTGGACAGGTAACCAGTCTATCACAGGGCTACACTTAGAGACAGACAACCAAGCACACTCACATTCACACCTACGGACAATTTAGAATCACCAATTAACCTCAACATGTTTCTGGACCTTGTGGGAGGAAGCTGGAGAACCTGGAGAGAACCCACGCTGCACGGGGAGAACATGCAAACTGGTGTCCTCACTGGGACGCGAACCGGTGACCTTCTAGCTGCGAGGCAACTGTGCTAACCACTGAGCCACACTGTGAAATTGGAGAGCAAAAAATGCGTTAACTGCTTCGATAACTGAGTAGTTTTAACTGTAAAGCTTGTTGCTTTAACAAAAAAAAAAGGTTATTGTCATTGTTTAACAAAAATAATGCCCAAAATTGCTCTGTCTCTGTGAAATACAGTTATAAAATTATATCGTGATGCACATGTTTAACTACCCTGTGATGATTAATTGAAGAAGTAATCCTTAGTTTTAGCTTTGATATCGACTGTATTTTGATTGGTGGTTGGTTTAGACTTGATGATGGATGAACAACCTCATAGAGTATTTCACAACGTCGCCCGATCGCTGTGCATTAGCGAGGTGAATGTCCGGCCTACCTATTAGATTCTCAGCACTATTTAGCTTTGATTGTGTGATAAAGCTGCAGTTAAGTTGATCGAGGACATTCATCCCTCCATTTACAGGAGCTTATCTCTTTGCGGCTCCGCAGATCGCTGACAGTGTTGCCCTGTTGATCTTTTAATGAAGCCGGGGGATCCTCCTCTGCTCCAGATGGCCCTGTGTTGTCCCGGTATGTCTGCGGGACCGTGTCTGTGTTGTTATTAATGCTGTACATGGCTTGGACCCCCTACCGGCTCCGATAAGTCCTCGCTTCCCCTCCCCTCCTGCCCAGATAGTGAAAGTCGGCTCACGTGACTTTTGTTATGATAAGAGGCGCAGTGTGGCATCTGGAGCTCGGCGGCATCTGGTGGTGTTTCACGAGGCTCAAATCTGACTCCTTGTTCTTCGTCTTGCTGCTGCGTTCACCAGGGATCAGGGAAGTTTAGGGCTGTAGCCAGCAGGTCACTTGTTTATGATGTATGGTATTTTTATTTAGAGACTCAAGACTGTTTCAAGGCTTCCTGTTCTCTAGTTAGCCTCGTTAGCAAGGATGTCTAGATCTGAGAGCTCACATGCTTTGCTGAAAGCTTGGATAAAGGATGTACGAGCATGTGTTCGTGGCAGCTTTCTCAGCTTCAGGTAAATAGATTCTGATGAGTGCTGGGGTAATAGTGGTTCACAGTTTCAGAAACTCTCTTTTCAAATAATGAAATATCAGACATTGCTGGTCAAATATGAACACAGACCAACTCAGCCGGATTTCCCCATGCCTCTGAAAATACCGCAGGCCAGACGATTATTGCTGACATTAAACCACTGAAGATAACACGAACCACTGTTTGACTCATACTCAGGGCAAATTTCCAAAATCTGCCCGACGGAGAAAGAGATTTGCGGTAATATTGTGCGTCTCATTATGAGTGATAATGGCTCGTAAAGACTCTCTCATCTGTTAAGAAAGTGTGCAAACATCTTGCCGTGTGAATGCAAGCCGGCCTTGATGTGTGTCACGTCATTTATCTGAGATCAAAGTAGGTCAAGTTTGGTAAGTGGCCTCTTCTGATATAAAAAGCGTACCGAAGCTGCGAGTTTCATCCGGGGTCAAGTCTGTATCTTTCTGCACTCCGTCGAGGATGAAAACTCTCATGTGGGAACATTGTGCTAATTTAGTGGCAGCGATAGTTTGTGTTTAAAGTCAAACTTCATGTCAAGGGCTTTCTTTTCAGCAAAAAGGACCGTTTCACTTTGGCAGTAAATGCCAAAAGAGTGTCTGCTTTAAAGAATGATTAGAGGAGCTTAGAGGTCATTAAGACCATCAACAGTTATTATCTCATAATAATGATTCGTGTTAATCATGTAAATTAAACGCCATTTAAGATAATCTGCATTGACCAAGGCCAGGAATGAGGATGCCACTCTTGATCACATATACAGTCTGTCCTGTTTGTATGATTAGATCAGGTCCAGTCTTTTAGTGAGACAGCTTATTTACATTAGTGTGGAAACGTAATGGAGCAAAACTCAAGCAGCTAAACAAGATCCACAGCTGGAGAAGTTGTTGTATGAGCAAGCCAGCATCCAGTCCTACTCTCAAAGGGTCAAACATGGACCAGATTTGTTGTTTACAGTTTGCAGCAGACTT